ATATAAAATATTAATATTTTTATTTTTTTAAAATTTTTCTAAATTAACCCAAAATTTAACTTTTTAATTAAATCAACTCTCAAATCGGAATCGGGTTTAATATCAATGATTTTGAGCCACTGAAGCATACCCAAGAGATATTTGTTAATGCCGATGTGCTAGATTGGTTTATTTCTTGATAAAAAAAAAAAACTGGATACAGTTGAGGACAGTATGATTTATTTAATTTGAATTAAATTTGGGCAATCTCTTCTTCTATACGGGTCAAGATAGATTAAATCTATGAAAGTAACAATCATATATGTACCAATATTGGGAAGAAAAAAAAATACAGTATTATTGCGTTATTCAAAAATAATATTTTTCATTTTTTTGGAATTGATCGGTAAGATTCTAGGTTGTGCTTAGTTAGCAATTCATGTTTTTTTTTTTTTAAATCTATATTTTTTTAATTATTATCTCATGTTAGTAACCAAATGATATTTTTTAATTTAGACTTGTTTATTTATAGCATGCACTACATTAAACGTAATTTTAGTTGTAAAACTCAAGTCTAATTCAACAACTTTCTTAGCATGAAACTCGGGATTTATACGTGGTGCATCACATAAACAAACATAGCCTAAAGTCGTAAAACTTTAATCTAATTCAATAATGTTCTTAGCATGAAGCTCAAGGCGAGGTTAAAACGGTGCATCTCATAAATAAAGTTGTAAAACTAGAGCTCAATTCAACAACTTTCTTGGCATGTAGCTCGAGGTCCACATCATTGTTCAAAAATCCCGATTCTCCACTACCCCTTTCCATGTTCCTCCCTCCCTTGTACACTAGCCATTTTCTAAGTAGGTGCAGAAGTAATCAAGAATATGATGAACACCAAAGATGCACATGATTCTGGATAAAAATCATAGCTCAGATATCAAGTGATATGATTTGTATTCACTTAGGAGTACTGTCCTTTTCTCTTTGTATGGATTAAGCTGAAAAAAATAAAAAAATCTAAGAAATTTTTTAAGCATCCTTAGAACATCGAATCATTCTTTATATAAAACTGTCCTTTGAATCATGATAAACAGCAATCTTATTATAGGTGAAGTGTTGAACAAAACAATTACAGGTCAAACCTGTAAACTAATATCTTTAAACAATTAATGATAATTATAATTAATTCTATATGACTGAGGTATGATGTGGGTCAGATAATATTGTTTTATTATAACAGTAAAAGTAAAACGTACTTATAACATGAATAATTATTTGATATTATTAAACTTGATCTAATAAGTTAATTTTGAAATCTTTTAATTTGATTTATTATTATTTTTTAAGTTTAAAATATAATTGAATATGAATTAACAATGCATGACCAAATTAATTTCAGTGTGCAAAAGTAACCTGACTGACTATTAAAAAAATTATGATAATGAAATTGAAAAAAAAGAGATAAATATGATAAAAAAATATTTATTAACTCAATTCTTTGTCTATCATATGTTTAAAATAAAAATATATAAAAATTATTTGGATATGATTCAGTTGACTTGACCAATTTAAAGACAACTTGAATAATTATTAAAAAAGTTTAAGAAATAAATGAAAAAAATGAAATTAAAAAAAGAAGAGTTTCATTATTCACGATTCTCCTCCATGAACTCTCCCAGGTTTTCTTGATGTATTAGGTAATAATATTATTTTTTATACATGAATTATCAAAAATAATACTACTTGTTATACATGTATTAAAATTAATAAAAAGATGGACCAAGAAAATGTGGTGGGGGAAAAAATGCCCCCCTTTGTTCTTAACTAGGAAGATGCTTTTGCCTTTCTTCCATTATAATTTTCCTTTTCATGCCATCCTAAGCTCCCATTATTCTCTGCCTCCTACACCGCCTTTTCCTTTACATTTTGCAAGCCCTAGAAGCCAGAGCCAGTAGTGCTACTCATCTTTCTTTCACTTTTCTGTCAAACACAGCAAGTTGCTAAGAACAAGAAAGATGGATGTGTTTGACTATCAACAACTTGTAAAGGCAACTGGGAGTTTCTCTCCTTCGAGACTTTTGGGCAAAGGAAGCCATGGATCAATCTACAAAGGCATACTTGAAGAAAATAAGCTTGTTGCAATCAAGAAATCATCATCTCTTGGTACTGATCATGTCTCTGCTGACAACTCCAAGAAACTTGAGAACGAAATATCCGTGCTATCTTCCCTACATGAAAGTCCATATGTCATCAACTTTCTTGGAACGAGTCTTTATCATCACAACTCAAAGAACAGGGTTTTGGTTATGGAGTTTATGCCTAATGGTTCTCTCCATGACCTGCTCCATGTTGATGCCACTCCACCACCATGGCCTAAACGTGTAGAAATCGCTATTCAAATTGCAAGGGCAGTCCAATTCCTTCATGAAGGCAAGCCTTTGGTTATTCATAGAGATATCAAATCTGCTAATATTTTGTTTGACATAAATTGGAAGGCTAAGTTGGCAGATTTTGGACTCTCAGTGTTGCAAGAAGACTCATCAAGTCATGATCATGCAACTCAACCGGCTGGCACTCTTGGGTACTTGGACCCTTCTTACACCACTCCAAGCAAACTAAGCACTAAGATTGATGTCTTCAGCTATGGAGTTGTTTTGTTAGAGATCATTAGTTGTCAGAAAGTGATTGATGTCTCGAGGTCGCCATCTTCAATTGTTGAGTGGGCAGTGCCATTGATTGAAGAGCAAAGATTGATGGAGATATGCGACACAAGAATTGCACTGCCAACATTCATGGAGGGCACGATTAAGCACTTGTTATATGTGGCAGCACGTTGTGTGTCTTGCAAGGAAGAAAATCGTCCATCCATTACTGAAATTGTTAAGGGGATGGATAAGAATTGTTTGGTTGAAAGAGTACAAATGCCCAGTTGGACAAGTTTCATGAGGAGCGTGATACTAACGAGAAGGCCAAGAGAATTGGCTGAGCAATGGCAGCAGGCAAAATGTGAAGATGCAAATTGTGACATTTCTAAAGGGATGAAGGCATATTTATGGGAGATATTGGCTTATATTACTACACTCGAATAACCATTTAAATGTTGGACTTTTTTCTTTTTTCCTTTCAAAATACCACATTCAACAGTAGTTTTTTTTTTTTGTTGGCGAACTAACACAACTACGAAAAAAATGCAGGAAATCAGCTATTGAAAAAAGCGCAACCACCTCCCAGCAGCACGACTTGGTTGCGTTAATCCTAGCAGCGCGACGAAAAAAAAGTGCTATTTCCCAAATTTTTTCTTTTATTGTGTTAGTGTGCTATTTTTTTTTTTTTAAAAAGACTTAATTAACTATTGATATATTTTGGGCAATGACCAGTCAAGGGGTTGGCTGGCCACAGCTCCTTTCAGTTAATATAATTTGTGTGTAAAATCAACCTGCAGTGCACGTAGTCTCCAAACAGAAAATCCCCGAAAGTGGGTGCCCAAAGGATACAGCAACAGAGGTTAAGCTTGATGCCCTGTGATTCTACATGCAGTTATGTTTCTCCTTTCTTTGCCATGATTACATTGATGAAGATGGGTCGCACCCAGTTGTGTAAGCGTCATCTGTGCAGTAAGGAAAACCTTTATCTGCCCAAAGGGTTATATTATTAATAGCATCGTCCAGGAAGCCAGGAAGAGTGGGACGCAAGCAAACGAATTGAATGTTCCCGAAATTCCTTTGCGTCTCTCGATATCTTGAAATTCTTGAGTGTGCTAAGATCGCCCATGTATTGATGTTCTGTGACATGTTTGATTTTGTTTACATTGATGAAATATTGTTTCGTAAAACATAGTTGTATTTTGTTTTGTCCTGTCTCTTGTCAACCAAACACAACTCTGTCTCGTGTTCTCTGTCTTAGTGCTAATGTCTTTTTTTCTTATTACAAAATAATAATTAATCGCTGCCCTACAGACTAACAAAAGAAAAAGATTATGTGACATGTTTAATTTTGTTAATTACATTGGTGAGAAGTTGTTTCCAGACAGAAATTATAATAGTTAAGATTACAAGCTTGATGACATGCATCGTGAGAGCAAAATATAGTTTTTTGAGTTTTGTTTTGTTTCAACACAAATCTGTCTGCACTCTCTACCTTAGCACTGTCTTTTTTCTCTCACGAAATATCGATCAAATGCTACCCTACAAACAAACAAAAGCAGAAGATTCATTACCGTCATGTATCTAGCTTCTGTAGCGCGCCATTGACATGATACAACGGAGAATTTTGAGGAAAAATTCGTATTTTTCGATCTTATATACAAGAAATTAACTAGCAAAAATCGTGATGCAGTGAGCATTAGAGACAAAAGATACTGTTCGATAAAGATAATTCAGGAGGTTCTTCCAAGACTGTTTGAGAGAAGTGGCCAAGATGCTATAACAGCACAGCCAACAAGATAATGCAAAGCCATATATTGATCCAGTTGCCAAGGGATTTCTTGAAGCAGCAACTAAAGATGCGCTTCATGTTCGACCTTTCTTTAAACCTCCCAGTAGTCTTGGCTCAAAGGTTAACCCTAAGCTCTCGGCGGGTTTTCTGTCATTCAATGTCTGCACAACAACATGAAGCTAGCTCCTACAACAATTGATGGATTCCATACACGAAGCATTTGATGAATTATCACCCCTTAGAGCTTAACTAGTTATGTCTTTCTAAGCCAGTGAATGTACATTAAATAAATTATAAAAAAGTACAAGCAGTTGAAAAAGAAGATAGGGCATGATAACTAATTTATAAAATTAAAACTAAAGAATAAAAAGAAAAATGAGAGAAATGCTATTTTATTAAGAGTTTTTTTTAAAGATATACCTTTATAGTTTTTATTTATATTTTTTATATTTATGTATAATGCTTAAAATTAGAAGCCTCTTACGATGTCTCAAGTCCTTGATAATAAAAGAATTAAACTACTAAAAAAATCATAATCTAATAAGGAATCTAACATTCTAATTAAATAAAAATTTTAATAAATTAGTCTTTTATAAATTCTTTTTCATCAAAGATTCATACATTAACTATAATTCATCTTTTAGCTATATTAAATTTTTTTATAAACTCTAAATCCTATTAGCCTAAATTCTAGTTAATATTGAACTTTAACACTTCCCCTTAATACCAACTGTCATTATTTTATTTTATTTCCTCTTTTTTCAAGATGTCTTGCTTTAATAGTGTTGATGTTGTTTATATTTCATCAAAATTTGATGAAGGTAGTTCACTATTATATTTAACATTAATTTTATTTTTTCAAACTATTTTTGTGTTTCTAAATATTCAACTGGATTCGTAACTTTTTCAAATAAGATTAATTTTTGGACTTGTACGTTTTCAATTTCTTGTAGCTTATCTTTAATGTTACCAATTAAAACAAAAATTTCATTGTAATTAATTTCTTATTTTTTACTATAGCTTTTTTCTTCTAATCTCACCTTGTACCTCTCTTTTTCTCTTTTGGTATTCTTCTTTTCTTTATAGATTCACTTAACACTTATTGACTTTTTTTTTTTTTTGTCTATAAACCAATTTTCATATGTTATTTTTCTTGCAATCTCCTCATCCATAGCAATTCTTCATTTTGAATCATTTATTGCTTCTCAAAATACTAGAATATCACATGTAGCAAGATAACGATATAATGTTACATCTTTAAATATGATTAGTTATCTCATATAATTCATTAAGTCTTTTTATTTTTTTTAGTGGAGTGCCCTACTTGGAGCTTTCACTAGAAAAAAAAAATTAAGTTGATTGGTGTTTGTGGAGAAATAATTATAGGTTCTTGATGATCTTCATATCTTTTCTCATTTTCATTAAAAGTCAGTAAAAAATAATATTTTTCACCATAATTTACCTGTCAATCCCATACCCCTTTTTCATTGAACTCAACATTTTTACCAATCACCATCTTTTCTTTATTAGGATTGTAAAGTTTGTATCCTTTAAACTTTTGGTCATAGCCCACAAAAATTATCCTTTTGGTCTTGTCATCTAGCTTGGTCCTTACTTGATCATCTACATGCACATAACCAATGCTTCCAAAAACTTTCAATTAAGAGACTCTTGGTTTTCTTCTACTCCATGCCTTTTGTACTTGAATCATGCCATTCAAGCTTTTAGTATGACATCTATTTGATAAGTAGATAACACAATTTAAAGTTTTATCAAGCTCCATGAACTTGTTTTTGTCTCCACCCATGTGGTTACTAGCTCCATTGTCTAGGTATCACATGTTCTCTTTGTCTTGCATTCTTTCATTATGCACTAGTAGTAGAGTGGCTTTTTTTTTTTTTTTTTATCACAAGATTTGTATTTTCCTCAACCCTCTTAGTTAAATTCTAGCAATTCCTAGCATAATGACTTGTATTTTGATACTTCTAACATTTAACTTTTGATTTGTCAAACCTGCTATCAAATTTAGATTTTGGATTGCTATTACCAGTTGAATTGATCAATTAGTTCCCTTCATTTGGTTGACTGTTTGATTTGTTAAGGTTGCCTTGACTTTCTCTTTCAAATTTTCTTTTTTTCTCTCATTGGGAATATCCAAAACCATCTTGCTTTGAAAAAAGTGCTTGTGCACCCATATCATCTTGAATTTCATTGATTTTTTTTTTCTCATGGGGCTTGCAATTTTTTCATGAGACCTTGTATTGAAAGAATATCCATATTTTGCATCTCTTCTATTACGACCACCATATAATAGAACTTTTTTTGCAGCGAGCGTGAGATCTTCTCTACCACATATGTCTCTTCTATCTTCTCCCCATATCTCCTCATTTGATTACATATGACTAATACTCTCGCAAGGTATTTTGAAATATTCTCTAATTCAAGTGTATGTAACTTTTCAAAGTCACCATGTAGTTTTTGTAGACGTACCTTTTTCATATTGTCAGCCTTTTAGTTTGATTCTTGCAAAACTTTCTATGCTTATTTGGTGGTGGTTATATTGACCACTATCTTACAAGTGATGCCATCTAGATATTAATAGTTGATTGTTAGTGCTAGTTAATTCTTTCTTTATGCCTGTTACATGGCCACCCTTTGGGCTGAAGTCAATGTTGCTCTATTTATAAGCTCCTCAAAACATTTTTTAATTATATGCCATATATCTTGGGAACCTAACTAAACTTTTACTCGAATACTCTAAGTTTCATAGTTGTTCTGTGTCAACTTAGGACATTGAAGTAGAAAGTTTGAATCGACCATATTTAATAATCAAACCTAAGCTCTTATGCTGCTTATTGAAAAAGAAAGATAGAGTGTGATAACTAATTTATAAAAACAAAGTTACGAAACAAGAATAAGAATGATATTTTATTAAGAGTTTTATCAAAAGATACATCTTTATAGCTTTTATCTATATCTCTTTATACTTGTATATAATATTTAAGATTATAAAAAGCCTATTTATAGGCCCTAGTTCCTAGATAATAAATGAATTAAATGAATTAAATTACTCAAATAAAATCTTAATCTAATAAGAAATCTAATAAGAAATTTAATATTCTAATTAAACAATGATTCTAATAAACTAGTCTATTACAATTTTTTTTATTAGCTTAAATCTTAATTGATATTGAATTTCAATACAATTTTTTTTTTCTATTAGCCTAAATCCTAATTGATATTGAATTTCAACACAAGTATGGAAATATAAATTATATACAGCCTCGCATGAGCTAAAAAAAAAGGACAATATTTATTGTATTTGGAATTTTGAATTGTTATTTATTTTTTTAATAATAACCCATATTAGTTTTAAACATCATTTTAATCATTTTAAACAGTTGAGTCTAAATAAAAAAATTCAACCAAATTGATTTTAATTGAATCAATTTGGTTTTACCAAAGTTTTATTAAAACTGAATAAATTCAAATGAGCTATAAATAAATAAATAAATAAATAAAATTGAGTATTTTTCATTGAAGTCTTGATTTTGTGAGACAAAAATGAGCTTTTTGTTTAGATTTGATTATATATAGTCTCACTTTTTTAGTTTGATTTTTGGTTGGGTTTTTTTTTAGTTTCTAAAATTTGAAA